GAAGTACAGGGTTATGAGATACATTATGTGAATGCTTGGCTAAAGAGATGTGTCTTTAATCTAGCTTTAAACAGAGAGAGTGTGTCTGAACCCCGAACGTTATCAGGAATGCTATTCCAGAGTTTGGGAGCCAAATGCGAAAAAGCTCTACCTCCTTTAGTGTGCTTTGCAATCCTTGGTACTACCAAAAGTCCAGAGTTTTGCGAACTTAGGGAGCGTGATGGATTGAAGTGTGGTAGAAGACTAGTTAGGTATGCAGGAGCTAGACCGTTAAGGGCCTTGTAGGCAAGTAATACTATTTTGTAACTGATACGGAACTTAATAGGTAGCCAGTGCTGAGACTGTAAAATTGGGGTAATATGATCATATTTTCTTGACCTGGTAAGGACTCTAGCCGCTGCATTTTGGACTACCTGTAGCTTGTTTATTGAAGATGCAGGACAACCACCTAGCAGTGCATTACAATAGTCCAGTCTAGAGGTCATGAATGCATGAACTAGCTTTTCTGCATCAGAAACAGGTAACATGTTTCGTAACTTCGTAAGAACAGTAAATGCACATTGTTGTTAAGGGGGGCATTTTCCCAACATACTGGAGCAGCTTTTAGGTCTCATGTCAACAATTAACAATTAATCGGTTTCTGTTGTGACTGGTGCTATCATTTGCTGCCTTTTTTTGTTTGTTTTGTTTTTTGCTGTCCCTCAGGAAATGCATATTGCATTAGTTTTAGTGGTTTTCATTAATACCAGGTCTTGGTTATTTTACATTGTAGAAATGAATCAGTTGTTCAGGTAAATTCTCTAGTACATAATGAGAAATTCTTTAAGTTTTGGCAGGTAAGTTGATGGAACTAAAATCTTTCTATTATTTTTGTTTACATAACATATGTGTACTGTGTATATTAATTATTTATATATAAATACACATGAATGTATATATTTCAGAAAAAATTATGTTTGTATATTACATATATTTACAGTATATATAATATAAATTATATGAATATAAATATATACATGTAAATATTTTCAAAATATATACTGTGTATGTGTATTTATATATACATAATAAATATACACAGTACACATACATATATTATGAAAACAAAAACTTTTATTTTGGATGCGATTAATCGTTTGACAGCACTAAAATAAACTAATGTGTTGGGTCTTGGCGGAATAGATCTGCTATGTGCTGCAGCAGAGCAAGCACTGAGACTTGCTTCTGCCAATACATCCACAGACACGCTGCTGTGAGCATGTAAGAAATACTGCTGCTGCTGCCAATACATCTACAGACATGCTGCTGTGAGCATGTAAGAAATACTGCTGCTGCACATATAACATACATGAATAACCCCCATAGCATACATGATCACCCCGTAGCAGAATCTATACAGGTGGAGCTGGGGGAGGTGGAGGGTTTCTGAAGTGCGCTGCTGCTGCTACAGCAAGTACTAGCCAAGTATTTGAATGCTGAGCAGTAAGCTCATTGGCTGCTGATGTGAAAATAAACCAATCAGCTGCAACCTGTGAATAATGATGTCATTATATCAGATTGAGTTTGACCGATCTAGAGTTTCATGACAGAACTTTGTATTTAAACTAGGGCTGTCAGTTTAATGCGTTAACTTAATTAGTTATGAAAAAATAACGCAATTTAAATATTTGAACGCAGTTAACTCACTGGCCCCGCCCCCAGAATTGTACATCATCTTACATTTCATACAGTTGACTGTTGACAAATATTATGCAGGGCAACAACTCCATAAATGCATTTATGCCCTAAAATTCAAGATATTGGGGCAAAAATGCCCCTGTGATATATATATCACATATCATACGATATCACACACACGAGCAGGGAGAGCAATACCACACGAGTGCTGATTTTGTCCCGATCTATCATGAGCTTAAATGTGATTTTAGATTTTAGTTTAACAGTTCAGTAAATAAGAAGTTGATACTGTGTTATATTTGAAACACAATATTATGTGTTTTTGCTTAATTTGACAGAGAACATATTATCTTTAAAGCCATAGCAGAATTGTTGTGCGTCTTCAAGCAACACAGCGTTGATTCGTTTCTGAATGAATCCGCGTTTTGAACGAATCGTGTGAATCAATGATTCAAAGACCCATTCGTAAAGAGAGTCGTTTACTTCATTCCTGAATGAATCAGCCGTTTGAACGAATCGACTCATAAAGACATTTACCGCCACCTGCTGGCAGATTTAGTTTCTTATTTAGAGTATAATTTCATAAAAAAAAATAAAAATAATAATAAAAATAAAAACATTTTTTTTGGGGGGTAAAACGTTCACCCCAAAAAATTTTAATTCTGTAATAATTTACTCACCCTCAAGTCGTTCCAAACCTTTGTTTTGTGGAACATAAAGAAGGTATTTTGAAGACTGTCGGTAACTAAGCTGTTTTGGTTAATGACGTTCATTGTATGAACAAAAAATACTGAGATGTTTCTCAAATTATCTTCTTTTATTTTCCATAGTTTATGTTAGGCCATTGCAGCCTGAACGTTTATATGTAATAAACTTTATGTTGAATCAAGTAAAATATTTCTTTCTAAAGCTACAATTTGTAATGTCTTCTTGATACTTTCTCATTTAACACAAAAAATAGCTTTAAATAATCTTTAGTGAGTATTTTCACAGTCAAATTTATTTTGCGATTAATTAATCGAAACATCATGTAATAAATTAGATTAAAAATGTTAATCGACTGACAGCCCTAATTTAAACTTGTGGTTGAATGTTTGTGGTTGTTCTTTCTGGTTTATTTGGTCAAATCAAAGCAACAAAATATTAAAGAGACAGACAACATTTCTTAAATAAACAATTTATAGCTCACATTCAAAGTTGTCATATTATTTTTTCTTAAAAAAATACCTATCCATGCAACAACAATAAAGATAAAAGGATAATTTTCTTTCTTTTTAATCAACGACGCCAACATGTTAGGAATTACGTATTCGTACTGTTCTTAAACGTAACTTGAGTACATTGCTCATTTATTGTGAGGGAACACATCACACATGTGAAATTTGTCCTTCAAACATTTCCCTTCAGCGGTTACAGAAATGATCGGATGACTTTGTTAAACAGTTGTCAAACAAACACTCCTGGGCATCCCAGTTATGGCTATTGACCAAAATCACACGTCTAAATACAGACACATCCCTACGGCACAACTCCGCATAGATGCCATGTTTTATAATGTCGATTTATTATTTATACACGTGATCAGAGTCAATCAATGTAGGACAAGACGAATGAATGAAGTTAATATATTTGCTCAAGTGCTACTACGGGCAGATACGATGTCTGTTTCCCAGAGAATGGAGAAAGTGTCCATTTTCAGTAAAAGGATGACACCATAGTGCAATAAATGCTTCATCTAGACAGAGAACATGCTGAAGGTGTCATGATGAGGAGACTGCTGACGGGACTCACAAGAACAAACCTAGAAACCAATCTTGCTACATTTGCTGATGGTGGGCAGAATGTCACTGCTCTCAGAAAAATAGGTCCAAACGCTGTCACTGGGGCGGTACCCTTTCAAAAGGCACTAATATACACCATTTAGATAATCATTTGTACACTTTAGGTTACAAATCTGTACATTTAAGGTACTAAAATGCACCTTTTATGGGTAAGTAAAGTACAAAGGTGTACTTTTGAAAGGGTACTGTCCCAGTGTCAGCTTTTGTACCTTTTTTTTTCCCTCAGTGTGTCTGTGTAATTAAAAGACAACCCTTCGAAATAACTCTGGAAAAAAAA